TTTTAACGTTTATTTATTTTTGAGACAGAGAGAAACAGAGCATGAACAGGGGAGGGTCAGAGAGAGGGAGACACAGAATCCGAAACAGGCTCCATGCTCTGAGCTGTCAGCACAGAGCCCGACGCGGGGCTCGAACCCACGGACCGCGCGATCATGACCTGAGCCGAAGTCGGACGCTTAACCGACTGAGCCACCCAGGCGCCCCCCAAAAATGTGTTTTTTAAGAAAATGCAATAAAAGAACTCTTCTCTTTCACCTACTCTCACTGGGGAGAAGGGCAGACAGCCATCCTACCATTTCTACAACCTTGTGTAAGTCAAGTTATTTCAAAATAACAAGTTACTAAATACGTTCAAAGCCCTGCCTTCCAGAGATACACGCTGAAATGTTTACCTACGACGCGGTGCAGGGTGAAGAAAGAGTCTGTGGCAGTTGGTGATACCCTGCTGTCTACGTATGTGCACACGCGGAAGTTTCCATCATGAGAAGCTAGATGAAAAGCTTCCCCAGTGACTCAGACACGCATCCTGGGCTCCACTCCGGGGCCATGGAGTACCAGGAGTTTCCGGAGTGTCCCAGCCCTACCTGTGCCAGTGTCACCTGAGAAGCTCACCGAACACGGTGGGCCAGGGTCCCACCCCAGACCAGCTTAGACCTCGGGCTAGGGCTCTGGCCTCAGATTTTTTTTTTTTTAATGCAAATTTTATTTTTGAGAGAGCACAAGCAGGGGAGGGGCGGGGGGGGGGGGGGGGGGGGACAAAGGATCCAAAGCAGGCTCTGTGCTGACAGCAGCCAGCCCAACCCGGGGCTCAAACTCGTGACTGTGAGATCATGGCCTGAGCGGAAATCAGACGCTCAACTGACTGAGCCGTCCAGGTGCCCCCTCACAAAAGTTTTAATAAGGAAATCAGACACTGCCGCCTCAGAGACCTACGTTCCAGACCAACCTAACACAGAGAAAGTTCCAACTGTGGAACCAGGGCTCAAATCCCCGGGTTGCCATTTTGTACCTGAATGACCTCAGGCAAGTGCCTTCACCTGAAAGCCTCAGTTTCTGAATCTGAAAGATGGGAGCAGGTCTTCCGGCTGCTCTGCCTTCCTCACAGGACTGTAAGGAGGGAGAAGTGAACTGTGTCCCTGGGACAGTGTTGTAAGCTGGAACTTTTCCAACCCAGGGTGGCAACACTATTCGTGGAACAGGTGGTGGTATTTGCTCTGTGGGCTGGTGGTGAGCGAGTTATCAGGGAATCTCACATGCACTTCAACTGTAGCCCAATTCTGACGCACCGGAAAAAGCCGGGGTTCCGCAGGGAGCGGGAGGGGGAGGGGGCACAGCTGGCAATGACTCATTTCTTGAGCAAACGTTTAGGGAGGGCCTGCTTATATGCCAGGAGATGGCTACGGGCTGGGGACAGGGCTATGCACGACACAGTGAGGTCCCCACCCAATACCGCGTCCCAGCTTGGGGGGATGAACAGTAAGCAAACCAAGATGCAAATAAATACAGAAGTATAAACACAGAGGGGCGCCAGGCTGGGTGGTTAAGCGTCCGACTTGGGCTCAGGTCATGATCTCACGGTTCATGAGTTCCAGCCCCGTGTCGGGCTCTGTGCTGACAGCTCAAAGCCTGGAGCCTCTTCCAATTCTATGCCTCCGTCTCTTTCTCTCTCTGCTCCTCCCCTGCTTGTGCTCTTAGTCCCAAAAATAAATAAACACTTAAAAAAGGAAAAAGAAGGGTAAACAGAGAGAGCTGCACCAGAGGAAAAAAATGAAGGTCCCAGGAGAGAAGGGGGCCAGGGGGGTTGCTTATGTGAGAGGCAACAAAACAGCAAGGAGATGAGAGAGAGGCTCTGAATCCCAGCCCTGCCACCTACTTACTAGCCGTGACGACCTTGGCCAAGGGACCTGGTGATGCGCTTAAATGAGACAAAGCATGTTACGTCCTTAGAATAGTACCT